TAGGTAACTTTCAAAACGAAACGAAAGACGTACAGTTGTAAAGCCGGAAATGTACACACAATAAAATGACGTCATTGTTTCTAGAGTAACCAGAATTAAAAGTTCAATGCCGAAAAAAAATACACAAAAATATTGACGTCATAGATACTTGATAACTTGATAATACGGACTCTAACAATATCGCCTAATTTATTTGTCTAATCTTAAAATCGTGCTGCATGCAGTTTTTCTTTTAGGAGATTTTTCATCGAGTGGCGACGTCCCCCCAATCCATGATAACGTTTACCACCCCTCCCCCTCGGATCGAAATAGAATTTATATAGAGCTTAGATGTAAGGTTTAGGGGTATGATTACGACTAAATTTAGTAACACTGGGCAGTTTCTGCGTGCAGATCAATTTGACAAGATAGAGTAATGTGGAAATGCCTACATTTAGCCAGGTACTTGGGTTTGTTTTAGAAAAATAGAAAACACTATTAATCTAGTGTCCGTTTTAATTTTCCCTTAACGGGCCATTTATCTCGTCCATAATAATACTTTCAATCCGGGAAAAAGCGCGGACACTGGTAAAAGTATATATTCTATATAGGAAATATGTCGTTATAGGTGGCGGTGTACTTTTTTGTGGGTCTCTGTCTGTCCCCCTCCCCTCGCCTGAAAGAAATCTAAATATAACTTTTGTCAAGTCAGAGCTAATATGCAAAGTTTAAGGGTATGACTATGACTATATTTAATTAGAATATGCAATAGGTAAGGGCCGATCAAAGTGAAATTCTGTTAAAATGCCGATTTCGGGTAAAAATTGGATTTCAATATCTTTCGTTTTCGGTTAAATTTGAAGTTGAGATGAAGATTTTGCTTTTGGTATAGAGAAAAAAACATCACCGTCCACCTAGCGCCTGTTGTATTTCTCCTACAACGCGCCATTTACCACCCAATTAATATTATTATACCCCCTGAGTCACCGGTAAGTGGAGGATCAATCGCCTTTTTAATTTCCGATGCAGTATTTCCAATCTCTTCCTGTATTGGTAGTTCACAATCGTTCTGTAGGCCTACAGATCTCACGCCTGTTCGTATTTTTCTTTTGTTTTACCTTACTATTAAAGTTTTCAAGCCCAAATAATTTAATTGGCATCTTCAACAGTCGGGTAAGTGTGTTTAGCTTCTGTTTGAACATTTTTATCCAATTGTTTTTGTATTAGATAAATGTTTACACGAATACTTTTGAATATTATAAAACATACTTTTTGAATTGTTAATGTTTTAGGATTTCTTAGATAGGATAGTGTTTTATGTCGATTTACATAAGTAATATTTTGATAATCAAATATTAAAATGTACTCAAAACATAATATTTATATATTTAAAAGAAGGTTGCATGTGGTTTACAAATATTGTAATTAAATTTTGATTTCTAGTAGTTAAAGTAAACCCCAAAAAAAAAAAGATAGCAGTAGCACGCAGGGTTACTAACTTTAGTTAACTTTATTTTTATGCCTTATTATTCTTTTAGTAGTAAGATTTGTTTGTTATATTATTGCAGAAATTCGTCTTGCCTACAATAACAAGCAGATACGTTTTGTATACCTGAAGAGTGGTAATATTCCCGGATCATCATCATCTTTCGTTTGTGGCGCCTGGAGAGCAAACTGCTGCAACCACACTTTTTAAGTGAACTCGGTTTTGGGCTGCTCCCTTTATCTGTGCTCACGTGAGCCCAGATGTCTTAGACTCTTCCTCTACCGTTCGTTTCCATGTTTTCTTTGGCCTGCTCACTTTCCTTTTTCCTTTTGAATTCCAGTCAATAGCATTTGCAATATTATCTTTTTCTCTACTTAGTGTGTGTCATATCCATCCCCATTTACGGTCCTTTATATCCTTATCTATAGGCTGTTGTTTTGAAATTTGACACAGGTTTTTGTTTGATATTTTAAGTATATGTCGTAAGCAATTATTTGTGAACGACTCTAGCCTATCGGTATTTGCCTTTGTAACCCTAAAAGTCTCCGAGCCATAGAGCAATACTGCCTTGACATTTGTTTTGAAATCCCAATTTTGCTCCGGAGTGACGGGGCCGTGCACCTCCAGATCGGGCGCAGTGAGTTGAAGGCACATCTAGCCTTGTTATTGCGTCATTTTATGTCATCATCTGCTCCCCTGTCCTTGTTGGTCACGCTTCCCAGGTTCGCGAATGTGTTTGTTTATCGCATAACTTCCCCATTTAGCTGTATGGGCAAGTCCTGGATGTTATTGATTCTGATGACCTGCTTTATTTTTATTGATTTTTAGTCCAAATTTGGACGCTTCTTCAGATAGCCGATTCAGTTTGGCTTGTGCATGCGGATGCTTGTGAGAAAGTAGGCAGATGTCATCGGCGAAATAGAGATCTTCCAGACTTTTAGAGAAACCCCAATGGATTCTTGTGTAGTTTTTTGTTGTTTTCAGCATGATCCAGTTGATTACAATCAATAATATAATTGGCTATATCATACATCCCCGTTTCACTCCAGTCTTAATTGTGAAGTGTTTTGTTAATTTTCCATTGTGTATTACCTGACTGGTGGAGTCTTTATATAGATTATGTTTGATAGATTAGCATAGACGTTTTAGTTACGGTTTGGATCTGATAATATCAAATTAAATTAGGTCTCATAAGGTTGGGTTAGGTTAAGTTTGTTTAGGTTATGTTAGCTACAAATATATGCATCTCAATTCAAGATTAACTTGTCATTACAAGCTTTTATTTAGCCGTCTTTTTTATGTCTATGGATGGAAATTCCAAAGCTAAATTTCTATTAATTGCATCTGACCAATTCATTTCAAATTGGTATGTATGTCAAGACCCAAGGACAATGCAATATGACATCACATTGGACTTAATTGGATGTCCACTTAATTTTTTATGAATTGATCAATATTTCAAATATATGTATAAATAAATAAATAAATAAATAAATAAATAAATAAATATATATATATATATATATATATATATATATATATATATATATTTATATATATATATATATATATATATATATATATATATATATATATATATATATATAAAGCAATGTATGTCTGTGTGTCTGTCCTGTATGCATTACTACACCTCTCATCACATCGCCGTGAAACTTTGGGAAGTTGTTGAAAATATTCCTGGGGAGGTTTCTGCGAAAAAAAAAATTTCAAATTCGCAGGGGTGGCGCCCCGACAGGGCGCGATTTGTTTTTTTTCTATATACGGTATATAAAAATAAAAGTCGATTTTTATTTGACACCATTCTTCTGATCGCTATCAAACTTTGGTGAGTTCATAAGAACACTTTAAGGAAGGGTTCTGTAAAAAAATCATGTTTAATTTCACAAGGGCGGCGCCACAGGAGGGTGCGATTTTTCTCAATATAATGTTGGCAATTTACAATATAGTCTTCGGCTATATATAAAAGTGCACTTTAGAACAGTACGGTCCATGTGATAGGTAAAGTAGAGTTCACCTGTTTCATTGACATTGGCAAATGGAGAGAGATCGATGCTGGAAAAAGGTGATCATGTTGCTGGGTAAATATAACGAATTTAGCTTTCAAATAGCATTGTAAAATAATGAGAGAACATAAAAAATATGGACTACAGGAATTGAGGTGGTGGACCACTATCCTGGATACAAAACAAAAAAAGGTCTTCACAGTGACCTTGACAACACTATTACTGAGCATAGACCTACACCTCATAATAAATACATTAAGGTTGAACACTGACAAAAATAAATTTTTGCAGTGCTATTGAATACCTACATTAGTGGCATTATACCGGCATTTAGTACCGACAGCAGTGTTATTGAACAGCACTGTCATTGGTAATCAATAGGAGAATCATTCGAGCACAACAGCCGTAGCACGAAGAACCGAAATCGGAAACATAGGGTAACAATAGCAGTGAGTACCCACAGCAGCTGCATTGAGCATGGAAGAATATACAACGACTGAACACAGGCATTTAGGACAGTATTTGCTCACATGTTTTGTGTGTATAGAAAATATAAGTCAAATGAGAAATATGCGTCTTTATTAGTTGACCTTGAATAGGACTTAACGAAAATGACTTAACCGGGGACAACTAAGTCTCTACACATTTAAGAAAGTCCTTTGTGTTAGAAAGTATTGTGTTACTGTAGTGTAGTAGAACCACGACAACAAAGCTTCAAAATAACAATTCATAAGAGTTAGTCAGTGAGCAGGTGCAGCAGATTTATGTAACGCTATGCCTGAGCTATTAAACTATAGTTTTCAAGGATTTCGTATGTTTAGTTTGTGATATTTTATTGTTTGTGCTGGATATTTAGAGAAACTGACCCGGACTAAAATCATTAAATTACTGTTTGGTCCATACGTGCCTGATGTAGCGTTTTCGCGACATACAGTAATTAGCATTAAAATAAGACCAAATTAAAGACATTTATATAACTCAAAATCAGTGTCAGTATGATGAGAGTAAATCAGCACAAATAATATGTTACACGCTTGGAACATCATCAAGGGGATATATATATATATATATATATATATATATATATATATATATATATATATTTAAAGCTGGTTATAAAAAATGTATTATACATTTTAATTTTGTGTCTGTTGGTCTGTGCTCATATTTGGGCTGATGCGTATGTAATTTCGTTCAGATTGTCTACCTGTTGAGTTACAGTAAAATACTATATCAGTTTTGTTTTTATCTTTCATTTGAAAGGGTTACAAAAATGCAATATAATAAAACAATTAATACGTTTCTTATGTACATCTATTTACCTATCATGCAATTCTAATGATGGTTCAGTAGTCTTATCGACCATTGCCCATTAGAAATCCAAGCATAATGCCTGGTTGTTAAGATGAGAAGAGCCAGATGTTGCCCACATATCAGTCGCCCTTTCCTTACACAATTGGTGGAATCAAATATATCTAACCTAATCCTTACATAACATGATTTTATTTAAGTTATACTGAGCTGATTAAAATGAAGATCGCAGTTCTCCTTCTTCTGGTGTGTCTTGCAAATCTCTGTGTTGTATCGGTCAGGTCAGTAAAATAAATTAAACTATCTTCTTTAAATAACCATTTTCTTATATTGGTAATATATAGATAGACAAACTAACAACAAAAACAGTCAGGTAGACAAACAAACAAAAACAACAACAGAGAGACAGACATACAAAAAAAAGTTTAATAGTTGGATCGGTGGATGAAAGGTTGGGTGGGTGGGTTTAGGGTTGGAGGTTGGATGGATTGATGGATAGAAGAATGGATTTGGAAATTGGAAAGGATGTGGATATGGATATAGAGATATATGTATTTGAAGATTAAGCTTCGTTTTATTCCCTATCAAACAGTTGTTGTAAAAGGTATGGTGAAGGCTGTTTAAGTAAGAAGTGGTGCTGTGAAGATAATGATTGTGTGGTTAATAGAAGGTATTAAATATTTTTTTCAGTCATTAAAATTATAAGTCGGATTTTCCTTAAATTTTTAAATAATTTTTTCAAAGGAGCTTTAATGTCCTTAAGGTTTATTGTTACTGAGATTTAATTTAAAATTGCCTTCGAAACGAATTTTTTGAAGCATGTTTTATTGTTCAATTTTCGATTAATTCATTATGCTAAACTCGAGAATAAGCTCGGTGTACAATGGCAAATCGTTTAAATAACAAAGTAGTTATTTCCATACTAAAACAACGCCTGACACCACACCAGTAATGCAGTACAGGTTATTCAAAACGTTTAAGAAAGATTTGTTGTACAATCTTGGTTTTGTAAGTTGTACATAGGCTGTATGAGTTTTGTCTCCCTAGCTTGAAAATAGTGCAAAAGACAACGTTCACGAACAAGAAATAATTCAAAAGTTTAAAGACATCTCCGATTTTAATCTAATACTTATTTATGAAATGTCCACTATCAGGCTGAAGTGGTATTCAATTTATAGACTTTAATATTGCTAGTATGTAATAGCTTTAGGATACAAATAGTTTGATTATAGTAATTGTTGTTATCCAAAAATATTTAATAAAAACCTCCATCCATTATTGTTTCATATTAGTTTTCTTTTCTTTCTTTATATAGAAGATATGAAGGAGATGGTGGAGAAAAAATATGTTGGCCTGCAAAGTAGTAAGTTATAGAGACCTGAAAAATAATGCGTAGTTAAAGGTTGTTTCTTTAAGTTTATAATACATTTTTTAACATAAACATACTTTTTAAAAAAAAAATATCTTCGCCATGTCTGTCTTCTAATTATAACACATACTCCATTTTTTCAATACTAACCGACACTTTCACTATTAACATTGTTTGCGTCACATCTCCATCCAAAATCACAACATCTCAATCAATACATTCAGCAACAAAGTATCCTAATCTTCTATTGTTCATAAAATGTTTAGATAAATGATAAAATAGCAATGCTTTACACATTAACGTTGCATACAAAATTTTACTCAGCAAGACTTTAAAGTTTCCAATTATAAAACTGACTGCGCAGATCAAAGTATAACACACAGGAACGCTTTCAAAATACTGAATTTAAAAAAAAACAATCGATGATTTATGATATACACATTTTAGTGTGCGTATTAAACGTGTTTGCTTGTAAGTTAAATTAAAAAAAAAGAAAAAAATATAAACAGTCTTTATGTTTAGAATTTTAATATTTGTAATTATATACATATAACTGTAATGGTATTATTTGCTCTGTTATTTTTTTCCCTTGTAGAAAAGAAAATGAATGAAAGAATCTTTAAGAAAAAATAAACATCTGATTCTGGCATTGACATATGTTTTTATGGTTGTTTTTTTTTTACTTTGGTTTTTTACTAAATGAACGCGGATCATACCCAGAACAATCAGTTGTGTCGCCAGATACAAATATATATATATATATATATATATATATATATATATATATATATATATATATATATATATATATATATATATATGAAGAAATGTATGTTTGTGTTTGTTTGTTTGTATGTCTTTTATGCATTACTAAACCTTTCATTACATCGCCATGAAACTTTGGGAAGTTGTTGAGAATATTCCTGAGGTGGTTTTTGCGAAAAAAAAATTCCTATTCGAAGGGGCGGCTCCCCAGCAGGGCGCGATTTCATTTTTCTCTATATGCGGTATATAAAAAAAACGATTTTGGTTGGACAGCGTTCATTCGATAGCCATGAGACTTTGGGGATTTGATTAGAACACTACAGGGAAGGGTTCTGTAGAAAAATAATTTAAATTTCGCAAGGGCGCTGCCACAGGAGGGTCCGATTTTTCTCTACATACTGTATATAAAATTAAAAGTCGATTGCATTTTAACATCGTTCATCAAACTTTGGGGAGTTAATTAGAACACTTCAGGTGAGATTTCTGTAAAAATCTTTTTTTCATAATATTGCAAGGGCGGCGCCACGGGATAGTGGGATTTTTCTCTAGATACGGTATATAAAAAGAAAAGACGATTGCGATTCGACACAGTTTATCCGGGTGCCATCTTTATAATACTAAAATTCAAGTTTGTTTACATGTTTGAAAAATTTTTTTGTTTGTCTAATTTGCTACTGGAGAGAATCTGCACTATGTGGAGAGCTGTAAAATAGTATGTAGGTAGAGAACGATTTTTGTTTTCAGACAGACTGTTAATCACAAATTTATTTAAAGACGTTAATTAATTTATTGATTTATTCATTGATGGATTAACCACATTAATTTTAGAAGTTTCAAACGATGGCTTAATTTGACGGAATAGTGACGTCACACGATTTGTTTACATTTTACATCAACAATGGCGGCTTCTATCGAAGAAAACTGTTTTCCCATACCAATGTTTAAAGCGTTCTGAAGCTAAATTTTTCGACTATAACTTTAACAGCACTCGACGAGGGCTAAAAAGTGACCTCGACTGACCGGCGCCTTATATGGGCTATATTACGAAAAAAAATTTCCTCCTACGACCCCCCTTGAAATTTTGTGATGTGGTAGGAGAACGCCTTGGGGTGTCACAAAAAACTCGCCATGTTCGGGAAGAATCGGGAAATGGGTCAAAACTGACCAGTTGTATTTCCCTATATAATCTTTGTATTTTATGGGAAAAACGTAGGGTCATTTCAAAACGAATTTTAGGGCACTTACCATCTTTACATCTGGCTAATTTTTGGCGTGTTTATACGTAAATGGCTTGGCCGTAGGGCAGACCTATCGGTCTTACTCAAAGCCCTCGACGAGGGCAAAAAAAAAGACCGCGAGTGAAATTCTCTTTATATGAGCTCTATTACGAAAAAAATTTTCCTCCGACGACCCCCCTTGATATTTTGTGAGGTGGTAGGAGAACGCCTTGGGGTATCACAAAAAACTCGGCATATCTGGGAAAACTTCGTAAAGGGGTCAAAACTGACCAGTTGTATTTCCCTATATAATCTTTGTATTTTATAGGAAAAACAGAGGGTCATTTCAACGCGGATTTTAGGGTACTTAAACTCAGTATATCTGGCTAATTTTTTGCATACTCTTAGGAGAATGGCTTGACCTTTAAAGTTCACTCAAAGCCCTCGACGAGGGCTAAAAAGTGACCGCGAGAGAAATTCTCTTTATATGAGCTCTATTACGAAAAAAATTTTCCTCCTACGACCCCCCTTGAAATTTTGTGAGGTGGTAGAAGAAGGCCTTGGGGTGTCACAAAAAACTCGCCATGTCCTGGAAAAATCGGGAAATGGGTCAAAACTGACCAGTCGTATTGCCCTATATAATCTTTGTATTTTATGGCAAAAACAGGGAAATTTTAACACAATTTTTAGGTTACTTAACGTCTGTACTTCATGCTAAGTTTTTGCATACACTACTATAGATTACTATGCCGTATGGAAAAACTGTTGGTCAGACTCAAAGCCCTCGACGAGGGCTAAAAGATGATCGTGAGTGAAATTCTCCTTATATGAGATACATATATATATAAATAGACGAACGATCCCCTTAATATTATATGACGTCGTAGACCAACCCTGGAAGGTAACAAAAAAAATTTATTCCCGTCGGAAACAGCCATTATAGTCGTTAAATATGTTCATATACCGTAATTTCTTATATAAGCATAGCAACTGTTTGTAAAAAAAAAGTAAACAAAGTCTTACGTCATACGCTCAGTTTTCAAGGGAGGTAACGTCTGTAAAATTATTATTTTTCAAATAATTGTATACTATTTTAAACAGAAACAGAAAATGACGAAGTATAGCATTTGGTTTAGTACAAAATTAAGTTGTTTATTCAGTTACGTATCCTAATTAAATAAATAAATACATTTCAAAAGGCAATGTAATATAAACTATGAGATATACAGTTCATGGAACCTGTGTAGTTCTAATTCCATTTTAGTTATACATTGCGTACTTTCCGATATTTCTTTGTGAACGGTATTTAAATGACAAACAAAAACATTTTTTTTCTAAAGTTAGCATTACTGTTTAAATTAAAGCACTCCACACCCAATCCATCGCTAAATAATTAAGTATTCAAATTCTAAAATGTTATTTAAAAACCTAAGCGAAGCTAGGCAGTATGCCTAGTATTCTATATAGGAAATATGTCGTTATAGGTGGCGGTATACTTTTTTGTGGGTCTCTGTCTGTCCCCCTCCCCTCGCCTGAAAGAAATCTAAATATAACTTTTGTCAAGTCAGAGCTAATATGCAAAGTTTAAGGGTATGACTATGACTATATTTAATTAGAATGTGCAGTAGGTAAGGGCCGATCAAAGCGAAATTCTGTTAAAATGCCGATTTCGGGTAAAAATTGGATTTCAATATCTTTCGTTTTCGGTTAAATTTGAAGTTGAGATGAAGATTTTGCTTTTGGTATAGAGAAAAAAACATCACCGTCAACCTAGCGCCTGTTGTATTTCTCCCACAACGCGCCATTTACCGCCCAATTAATATTATTATACCCCCTGAGTCACCGGTAAGTGGAGGATCAATCGTCTTTTTAATTTCCGATGCAGTATTTCCAATCTCTTCCTGTATTGTAGTTCACAATCGTTCTGTAGGCCTACAGATCTACAGATCTCACTCCTGTTCGTATTTTTCTTTTGTTTTACCTTACTATTAAAGTTTTCAAGCCCAAATAATTTAATTGGCATCTTTAACAGTCGGGTAAGTGTGTTTAGCTTCTGTTTGAACATTTTTATCCAATTGTTTTTGTATTAGATAAATGTTTACACGAATACTTTTGAATATTATAAAACATATACTTTTTGAATTGTTAATGTTTTAGGATTTCTTAGATAGGATAGTGTTTTATGTCGATTTACATAAGTAATATTTTGATAATCAAATATTAAAATGTACTCAAAACATGTTATTTATATATTTAAAAGAAGGTTGCATGTGGTTTACAAATATTGTAATTAAATTTTGATTTCTACTAGTTAAAGTAAACCCCAAGAAAAAAAGATAGCAGTAGCACGCAGGGTTACTAACTTTAGTTAACTTTATTTTTATGCCTTATTATTCTTTTAGTAGTAAGATTTGTTTGTTATATTATTGCAGAAATTTGTCTTGCCTACAATAACAAGCAGATACGTTTTGTATACCTGAAGAGTGGTAATATTCCCGGATCATCATCATCTTTCGTTTGTGGCGCCTGGAGAGCAAACTGCTGCAACCACACCTTTCAAATGAACTCGGTTTTGGGCTGCTCCCTTTATCTGTGCTCACGTGAGCCCAGATGTCTTAGACTCTTCCTCTACCGTTCGTTTCCGTGTTTTCTTTGGCCTGCTCACTTTCCTTTTTCCTTTTGAATTCCAGTCAATAGCATTTGCAATATTATCTTTTTCTCTACTTAGTGTGTGTCATATCCATCCCCATTTACGGTCCTTTATATCCTTATCTATTGGCTGTTGTTTTGAAATTTGACACAGGTTTTTGTTTGATATTTTAAGTATATGTCGTAAGCAATTATTTGTGAACGACTCTAGCCTATCGGTATTTGCCTTTGTAACCCTAAAAGTCTCCGAGCCATAGAGCAATACTGCCTTGACATTTGTGTTGAAATCCCAATTTTGCTCCGGAGTGACGGGGCCGTGCACCTCCAGATCGGGCGCAGTGAGTTGAAGGCACATCTAGCCTTGTTATTGCGTCATTTTATGTCATCATCTGCTCCCCTGTCCTTGTTGGTCACGCTTCCCAGATTCGCGAATGTGTTTGTTTATCGCATAACTTCCCCATTTAGCTGTATGGGCAGGTCCTGGATTTTATTGATTCTAATGCCCTGCTTTATTTTTATTGATTTTTAGTCCAAATTTGGACGCTTCTTCAGATAGCCGATTCAGTTTGGCTTGTGCATGCGGATGCTTGTGAGAAAGTAGGCAGATGTCATCTGCGAAATAGAGATATTCCAGACTTTTAGAGAAACCCCAATGGATTCTTGTGTAGTGTTTTGTTGTTTTCAGCATGATCCAGTTGATTACAATCAATAATATAATTGGCTATATCATACATCCCCGTTTCACTCCAGTCTTAATTGTGAAGTGTTTTGTTAATTTTCCCTTGTGTATTACCTGACTGGTGGAGTCTTTATATAGATTATGTTTGATAGATTAGCATAGACGTTTTAGTTACGGTTTGGATCTGATAATATCAAATTAAATTAGGTCTCATAAGGTTGGGTTAGGTTAAGTTTGTTTAGGTTATGTTAGCTACAAATATATGCATCTTAATTCAAGATTAACTTGTCATTACAAGCTTTTATTTAGCCGTCTTTTTTATGTCTATGGATGGAAATTCCAAAGCTAAATTTCTATTAATTGCATCTGACCAATTCATTTCAAATTGGTATGTATGTCAAGACCCAAGGACAATGCAATATGACATCACATTGGACTCAATTGGATGTCCACTTAATTTTTTTATGAATTGATCAATATTTCAAATATATGTATAAATAAATAAATAAATAAATAAATAAATAAATAAATAAATAAATAAATAAATAAATAAATAAATAAATAAATAAATAAATAAATAAATAAATAAATAAATAAATAAATAAATAAATAAATAAATAAATAAATAAATAAATAAATAAATAAATAAATAAATAAATAAATAAATAAATAAATAAATAAATAAATAAATAAATAAATAAATAAATAAATAAATAAATAAATTAATAAATAAATAAATAAATAAATAAATAAATAAATAAATAAATAAATAAATAAATAAATAAATAAATAAATAAATAAATAAATAAATAAATAAATAAATAAATAAATAAATAAATAAATAAATAAATAAATAAATAAATAAATAAATAAATAAATAAATAAATAAATAAATAAATAAATAAATAAATAAATAAATAAATAAATAAATAAATAAATAAATAAATAAATAAATAAATAAATAAATAAATAAATAAATAAATAAATAAATAAATAAATAAATAAATAAATAAATAAATAAATAAATAAATAAATAAATAAATAAATAAATAAATAAATAAATAAATAAATAAATAAATAAATAAATAAATAAATAAATAAATAAATAAATAAATAAATAAATAAATAAATAAATAAATAAATAAATAAATAAATAAATAAATAAATAAATAAATAAATAAATAAATAAATAAATAAATAAATAAATAAATAAATAAATAAATAAATATATATATATATATATATATATATATATATATATATATATATATATATATATATATATATATATATATATATATATATATATATATATATATATATATATATATATATATATATATATATATATATATATATATATATATGGTGCTATTTACCTCTCTATCATCAGTGAAACCCTATTTAAGTTTTTAAATTAATAATGCACTAATTAAAGAAACTTATTTTTTTTCTCTTAATACGTAATAATACACCACAATTTAAAAACTCATAAAAATATTGCGTGTGTCACTGTTTATTGAACACCTTAAATTTCTTTACTAAACTTTAAGAATTGACTCATGCTTTTTTACTGGTATGTAAATAGTAGTGAATTTTTAAATACGAGCTATTCAGTTGTTTTAATTTCTTTTTTTTCAGTAATTCATAATTTGTGAATTTGACACTACCAATGCTGCGACTGAAAATATATTGCTTTAAAAAACTATCAGTAGCTCGTGAATGACGATAATACTCACCCTCACTTTCTACTCCTTTCCCCTCCCCTCTTTAAAGTCCGTGACGACAGTTTAAAGACGTCACTGAAAAGATCAATCAGAACTTGTTATTACCTCTCATTAATTTCAAATCGTTTAAAAAATAAATTATCTACACCAAATAGCCGGCACTAGGATTGTCAACATTTAGTGTTAGCTTCAGCCTACCAGACTGGTGGGGATGGGGAGAATGTAGCTATAAGCCTAGAGAGCGGGGAAGTAACAGGAAAATAATGCATGTCTCCTTTTTATTTTATATATATATATATATATATATATATATATATATATATATATATATATATATATATATATATATATATATATATATATATATATATATATATATATATATATAGTTAGATAGATTGATAGATATCCCTTAACGCGTTATCGTGACATACCGATTTAGCGGGTAGCATATGCGCATAGGTGTATTTATCCTACTAATGCCGGTCGTTGTGTATTGGGTACATCCAGACGGTTGGATCGGTACCAACGGTACTCCCGCCCATCGTAATTTTTTGACTTCGTGAATTCAGCCTACTTACGTGATTATTATTACTAAATAGGTGATCCGTTTTTGCTCCAAAAATGCTAATAGCTTTATTATTCACTCCTTTATGTATATAAACAGTATAAATCAGATGATAATAATTTTGGAAGTTATCGGCTGATTACGGTTTGTCGCGTTTTTGCGACATCCGCCAATAAGACATAACATGGTACTTGGGTGCAAAGCAAGTATAACGAAATACCATGCATCGCCAAGCTGTCATTTATTAAAGTATGATTATAAAAAATTAAAGGATTTACAATATAGTCTTCGGCTATATATAAAAGTGCACTTTAGAACAGTACGGTCCATGTGATAGGTAAAGTAGAGTTCACCTGTTTCATTGACATTGGCAAATGGAGAGAGATCGATGCTGGAATAATGTGATCATGTTGCTGGGTAAATATAACGAATTTAGCTTTGAAATAGCATTGTAAAATAATGAGAGAACATAAAAAATATGGACAACAGGAATTGAGGTGGTGGACCACTATACTGGATACAAAACAAAAAAAGGTCTTCACAGTGACCTTGACAACACTATTACTGAGCATAGACCTACACCTCATAATAAATACATTAAGGTTGAACACTGACAAAAATAAATTTTTGCAGTGCTATTGAATACCTACGTTCGTGGCATTATACCGGCATTTAGTACCGACAGCAGTGTTATTGAACAGCACTGTCATTGGTAATCAATAGGAGCATCATTCGAGCACAACAGCCGTAGCACGAAGAACCGAAATCGGAAACATAGGGTAACAATAGCAGTGAGTACCCACAGCAGCTGCATTGAGCATGGAAGAATATACAACGACTGAACACTGGCATTTAGAACAGTATTTGCTCACATGTTTTGTGTGTATAGAAAATATAAGTCAAATGAGAAATATGCGTCTTTATTAGTTGACCTTGAATAGGACTTAACGAAAATGACTTAACCGGGGACAACTAAGTCTCTACACATTTAAGAAAGTCCTTTGTGTTAGAAAGTGTTGTGTTACTGTAGTGTAGTAGAACCACGACAACAAAGCTTCAAAATAACAATTCATAAGAGTTAGTCAGTGAGCAGGTGCAGCAGATTTATGTAACGCTATGCCTGAGCTATTAAACTATAGTTTTCAAGGATTTCGTATGTTTAGTTTGTGATATTTTATTGTTTGTGCTGGATATTTAGAGAAACTGACCCGGACTAAAATCATTAAATTACTGTTTGGTCCATACGTGCCTGATGTAGCGTTTTCGCGACATACAGTAATTAGCATTAAAATAAGACCAAATTAAAGACATTTATATAACTCAAAATCAGTGTCAGTATGATGAGTGTAAATCAGCACAAATAATATGTTACACGTTTGGAACATCATCAAGGGGATATATATATATATATATATATATATATATATATATATATATATATATATATATATATATATATATATATATATATATATATATATATATTTAAAGCTGGTTATAAAAAATGTATTATACATTTTAATTTTGTGTCTGTTGGTCTGTGCTCATATTTGGGCTGATGCGTATGTAATTTCGTTCAGATTGTCTACCTGTTGCGTTACAGTAAAATACTATATCATTTTTGTTTTTATCTTTCATTTGAAAGGGTTACAAAAATGCAATATAATAAAACAATTAATACGTTTCTTATGTACATCTATTTACCTATCATGCAATTCTAATGATGGCTCAGTAGTCTTATCGACCATTGCCCATTAGAAATCCAAGCATAATGCCTGGTTGTTAAGATGAGAAGAGCCAGATGTTGCCCACATATCAGTCGCCCTTTCCTTACACAATTGGTGGAATCAAATATATCTATCCTAATCCTTACATAACATGATTTTATTTAAGTTATACTGAGCTGATTAAAATGAAGATCGCAGTTCTCCTTCTTCTGGTGTGTCTTGCAAATCTCTGTGTTGTATCGGTCAGGTCAGTAAAATAAATTAAACTATCTTCTTTAAATAACCATTTTCTTATATTGGTAATATATAAATAGACAAACTAACAACAAAAACAGTCAGGTAGACAAACAAACAAAAACAACAACAGAGAGACAGACAAACAAAAAAAAGTTTAATAGTTGGATCGGTGGATGAAAGGTTGGGTGGGTGGGTTTAGGGTTGGAGGTTGGATGGATTGATGGATAGAAGAATGGATTTGGAAATTGGAAAGGATGTGGATATGGATATAGAGATATATGAATTTGTAGATTTAGCTTCGTTTTATTCTCTATCAAACAGTTGTTGTAAAAGGACTGGTGAAGACTGTGTAAGTAAGAAGTGGTGCTGTGAAGATAATGATTGTGTGGTTAATAGAAGGTATTAAATATTTTTTTCAGTCATTAAAATTATGAGTCGGATTTTCCTTAAATTTTTAAATAATTTTTTCAAAGGAGCTTTAATGTCCTTAAGGTTTATTGTTACTGAGATTTAATTTAAAATTGCCTTCGAAACGAATTTTTTGAAGCATGTTTTATTGTTCAATTTTCGATTAATTCATTATGCTAAACTCGAGAATAAGCTCGGTGTACAATGGCAAAACGTTTAAATAACAAAGTAGTTATTTCCATACTAGAACAACGCCTGACACCACACCAGTAATGCAGTACAGGTTATTCAAAACGTTTAAGAAAGATTTGTTGTACAATCTTGGTTTTGTAAGTTGTACATAGGCTGTATGAGTTTTGTCTCCCTAGCATGAAAATAGTGCAAAAGACAACGTTCACGAACAAGAAATAATTCAAAAGTTTAAAGACATCTCCGATTTTAATCTAATACTTATTTATGAAATGTCCACTATCAGGCTGAAGTGGTATTCAATTTATAGACTTTAATATTGCTAGTATGTAATAGCTTTAGGATACAAATAGTATGATTATAGTAATTGTTGTTATCCAAAAATATTTAATAAAAACCTCCATCCATTATTGTTTCATATTAGTTTTCTTTTCTTTCTTTATATAGAAGAGATAAAGGAGATGGTGGAGAAAAAATATGTTGGCCTGCAAAGTAGTAAGTTATAGAGACCTGAAAAATAATGCGTAGTTTAAGGTTGTTTCTTTAAGTTTATAATACATTTTTTAACATAAACATACTTTTTTAAAAAAAAATATCTTCGCCATGTCTGTCTTCTAATTATAACACATACTCCATTTTTTTCAATACTAACCGACACTTTCACTATTAACATTGTTTGCGTCACATCTCCATCGAAAATCACAACATCTCAATCAATACATTCAGTAACAAAGTATCCTAATCTTCTATTGTTCATAAAATGTTTAGATAAATGATAAAATAGCAATGTTTTACACATTAACGTTGCATACAAAATTTTACTCAGCAAGACTTTAAAGTTTCCAATTATAAAACTGATTGCGCAGATCAAAGTATAACACACAGGAACGCTTTCAAAATACTGAATTTTAAAAAAAAAACAATCGATGATTTATGAAATACACATTTTAGTGTACGTATTAACGTGTTTGCTTGTTGGGTAAGTTAAATTAAAAAAAAAGAAAAAATATAAACAGTCTTTATGTTTAGAATTTTAATATTTGTGATTATATACATATAACTGTAATGGTATTATTTACTCTGTTATTTTTTTCCCTTGTAGAAAAGAAAATGAATGAAAGAATCTTTAAGAAAAAATAAACATCTGATTCTGGCATTGACATATGTTTTTATGGTTGTTTTTTTTTTACTTTGGTTTTTTACTAAATGAACGCGGATCATACCCAGAACAATCAGTTGTGTCGCCAGATACAAATATATATATATATATATATATATATATATATATATATATATATATATATATATATATATATATATATATATATATATATATATATATATATATATACATATATATATATATATATATATGAAGAAATGTATGTTTGTGTTTGTTTGTTTGTTTGTATGTCTTTTATGCATTACTAAACCTTTCATTACATCGCCATGAAACTTTGGGAAGTTGTTGAGAATATTCCTGAGGAGGTTTTTGCGAAAAAAAAATTCCTATTCGAAGGGGCGGCTCCCCAGCAGGGCGCGATTTCATTTTTCTCTATATGCGGTATATAAAAAAGCGATTTTGGTTGGACAGCGTTCATTCGATAGCCATGAGCCTTTGGGGATTTGATTAGAACACTACAGGGAAGGGTTCTGTAGAAAAATAATTTAAATTTCGCAAGGGCGCTGCCACAGGAGGGTCCGATTTTTCTCTACATACTGTATATAAAATTAAAAGTCGATTGCATTTTAACATCGTTCATCAAACTTTAGGGAGTTAATTAGAACACTTCAGGTGAGATTTCTGTAAAAATCTTTTTTTCATAATATCGCAAGGGCGGCGCCACGGGATAGTGGGATTTTTCTCTATATACGGTATATAAAAATAAAAGACGATTGCGATTCGACACAGTTTATCCGGGTGCCATCTTTATAATACTAAAATTCATGTTTGCTTACATGTTTGAAATTTTTGTTTGTTTGTCTAATTTGCTACTGGAGAGAATCTGCACTATGTGGAGAGCTGTAAAATAGTATGTAGGTAGAGAACGATTTTTGTTTTCAGACAGACTGTTAATCACAAATTTATTTAAAGACGTTAATTAATTTATTGATTTATTCATTGATAGATTAACTACATTAATTTTAGAAGTTTCAAACGATGGCTTAACTTTGACGGAATAGTGACGTCACATGATTTGTTTACATTTTACATCAACAATGGCGGCTTCTATCGAAGAAATCTGTTTTCCCATACCAATGTTTAAAGCGTTCTAAAGCTAAATTTTGTCGACTATAACTTTAACAATACGTCCGTTTGCTGTATTTATTATGTTCCAACACTTATATCTATTTTTAACTGTCTTTGTCATTTAGTTTTACAATAAATTTCTCTAGATCTACAGATCAGCTGTTGAAGGAAGAAAAAGTTATGAATCTAGATCTCTAGATCTAGATCTAAGTCACTAGACTTAACGTAAATTCTAGACCTAGACTTAATGTAAATTCTACATCTAGAATCTATTTCAAGCCTTAATTATTTTATATGGGACTCAAATACAGGATCTTAATTATTGGACTTCACAACTTAACTGGGACAGCTTTTTCCGTGACAACCTTTCTTAGTTCTGGTCCACAAACTTGACAAGAGAGCGACCTTGGATGTTCGTACTTCGTAAGGATCAAGTGAGGGGATGGGGGAGTGGCGGTATGCTTAAACATGTTTAAGAATATATAGTAATAGATCTAAACTTTTTAAAGATATTCACATGCATGTTTTATTAATTAGTGTAAGTGTTTTAACAATGTTTAATCAGGCCATTTATAAAATACGAGCCGACCCACGGCGTATCACACGCCGCTATTTAGTTTTTTTTTTACTTTTCAGTAATTCATAATTTGTGAATTCGACAGTACCAATGCTGTCACTGAAAATATTTCTTTAAAACCAGTGACGGATCTAGAAAAAAGGGCCCCCCCCCCCCCCTCCCCCCCCCCGCAAAGAATTTTTTTTTGAAAATACGAACATAGAATACTCATTTCGGCCTTAAAAATTCTTAGTTTAAAATAAAATTAAAACAAGTTACATCAACATGTCATTTGTGTGAGGTCCATTAGTCTGTTTTGAAAATCTCTGGTACAACATATGTTTTCCATAATGCTTCCTATACGAGAGTCGATCAAAAGAATATGAAACATTAAAGCTTTGTATGTGTAATGGTTTCTTGCGTTATCTTTATTTTTAAGTTGTTTTTTTTTATTTATATCATTAGTTTTAAATACATTTCCTTTTTACTTTCTCGTATATACGAAGTATAGAGAAAGTCATGTAATCGTGCAAAAAAAATCGAGATTTTTACAAATCTCGACGTTTTGCACCTCACTGATATGGAAAAACATAATTTTGCAATCTTCTCCGTATGTCTGTGTGTCTGTCTGTGTGTCTGTGTGTGTGTGTGTAAACACGATAACTTGAGTACCGTTACAGCTAGGGTGAGTAAATTTCATATAGTATTTTATTAAAATAGTAGATCAGTTTGAGCTTTTGAGCGATTTCCGATAACCGGAAGTGGTACTTTTTCTACTTTTCAAAAGCCTATAACTTACTTAAGTACCATTTCAGATAGATAAATGAAATTTCATATGTAAGGAAAAGATCTAATCCTCTACATTCTGTCAAATTTTGAGTAATTTTCGTTTGACCGGAAGTACTAATTTACGCTTTTTTTTCTCAAAAACGCATGCAAATTTATAAAGTACTAATATTATTGCGCACTATTATGCACATTTCATTTGGCGTTCACCTGGTGTGCAAATCTTTTTTCTACGAGATTTTATTCTATTTTAAAAACTTTAAGTATTTAAAATGGAGTTCCCATCCCCTGTTGTTTTATGGTCCTAGTACCTTTGACCACAGATGCTTTGACCATAGGGGGTTTGACCACAGCGAGGCTTTGACCATAGCGGTGCTTTGACCATAGCGGGTTTGTTCATAGGGGGGTTTGACCATAGGGGGTTTGGCCACAGGTGTTTTCTAAGCAGAGGGTCTTTGATCACAGGTCGTCTATCAACGGGTGTTTGATCACAAGTGAAAAATACAATACGTCTAACGACAATATTTGCGACATGAAAATGTACGTCGTGGAAATAAGAAATTTAATCGTATTTGAAAAAAAATTCATTAAAAAAAAATGTTTTAATAACAAGCTTTTATGTAATAATGCAGTAAAAAGTAGAAAATAAATTATAAACTACTGTTTAAATAACTGCAAAGGAAAGCGTGTTCTCTTCCTAATATTAGACACTACTATTTAAATTACTATAAAGAAAAGCGTGGGTCACTTTAGTATTTATTGGATACCTTTACTAATATTTAGGAAGAGACCCATGCTCAAGCTCGAATCCGAGTTCAAATCAGTCGAACGTCTCTGATTGGTACCTAACCAACGTTAGGGGAACGAAAGCAGCTGGGCATAGTGCTGAACACACTATCCCTTTATATGTGTCTTTGATATGAACGGGATAATCTGAGGAAACAGTTATAAGTGTACAGACGTTCTACAGATGTAAGTCTCAACAAACAAACCGTTCTCCCACGCTGCAGATTCAAGACTTAAGAATCTCATACAAAACCAAGACTACAACGTTCATTTTCTCTATATTGATATATATATACACACACACACATATATATATATATATATATATATATATATATATATATATATATATATATATATATATATATATATATATATATATTATCTGTAGAAACCTTGAAACTGTATAAATTTAAAGCTGTTCTAGCCAAAAAAGTAATATCCAAAGCAGAGAAATAATAAACGAAAAAAAAACTGGTAGCTAGATACATATGTAGACAGACATCCCAAAAACGGCTGACACTTAGAAGCAAAAACTAGGGACAGACAACACGAAGATTTCAGTTAAATAAAACAACAAAAATATCCAATATAGCTTCAGACATCTGTGTGTGTATCTCTTACCGGCAACAATGGCAGCAAAGATTAATCCATAAAAAGCAAAGTAATTTTCTTGATTAAAATACGTCATACTACAATAACATTGATATAATAACACCTAATAATACACTTATACAATCGCTAAAATATGTGTTGCCTTAAATTTTAATTTTTTAAAGGCTGTTTGAGAATAGACATGAGCAAAGTTTTGTGAACATTGATGATTACGCACATTTATCTAGCCGTATAGGGGTCGGTAGTTCGCATCTAACAACGATAGAAATGGGAGGGCACTCCCTCAATGATGTTAACCACACCTCGCAACTACAGGTACCTAACTCTAGTTTATATGTTTAGTGCGGTTACACCAAGATTTAGTGACGGAATGACCTAGCGGTAGAGAGCTATTGCTAACATGTAAGATTACCTAACTCACGTTATGGAAAGCAGTAGCGTATCGAGGGGGGGCGGAGGAGGGACATATGTCCCCGGGCGCCGACCTTAGGGAGGGGGCGCCAAATTGAAAGTTTGAAGGGGGTGCAAATGAAAAGTTTGAGGGGGGGGCAAATCGAAAGTTTGAGGGGGGTGTGCAAATAAAAAGTTCGAGGGGGGGGGTGCAAATCGAAGATTTGCTCTCGAGGGGGCGCCAACTTGGAAGTATGTCCCCGGGCGCCGGGAAGGGTAGCTACGCCTCTGATGGAAAGTAAAGGCGGCTGGGCATAGTGCTGACCACACTATCCCTTCATACGTCGAGGTCAAAGAAACACGTGAGTCTACTTTACCTGACCCTTAGACCTTGAGATTTGTAAGGGGAGATTTATTTACACTGAGATTTAAGACTTGTATTGATACACAGTTTATAAAATGATACTTTGTTAGGACTAGGCCGGCCAGCTTAAGGATCAATAAAGCGTTAACCAGGTGTTGTGTTTTATTGAACGACCTGGTGGGCCAGTTTAAAGGGTGTATAGGGGAGCTATGGATGTCCCAGCCTATGAGAACAACGCTGAAATATTACTTTGTGTCGGGAAGCCTAATAGTATTTTCTCTAGGTAAAAAAAGTGGCTATTTTTACCACAAAAGTAAACAAATGACTCTGTACAATGTACTTTAAAGACGGTTTTTCATAAATAAATATGGCTTTTAGGGTCATAGCAATGTCTATTTAGATTCAACGTTGG